CCGAAACCTCAGTTGCATGAGAAGCAAGCTAAGATAGAAAAAAAAGGATGGCAGAGTGACCTGGTTTTGAAGGATGCCATTCCACCAAAGATACATGTTTTTGTGGCCCTATGGATCCCAGACACACTGGCTAATGGGTGCTGATGAAGATCAGACGGGCTGGCACACAACTGAGAAAGGGACAGAAATATTAAAAAGCCCTCCATCAGGAACTTAACAAACCTTTGAATTGGGGGTGTGTTTACATGTACTATGCTTGTTTTGTTGTTTGGTCGTGTTTGGTTTTGGAGATGTTAAATGATTTCATTAAAACCATTACTGTTATTAACTATATTGATTTTCCTGGGAAACTAAAAGTCCACCTGCACGTATAAGACTATGGAAGTGCTCAGGAAAGGCCTGAGAATGCTCAAGGCTCTCACCTCACACCATACACAAAACTATAAATCTCTTAGAAGTTCATTTTTAGGTATATGGCCCATTTTGAGTTAATTTTTGTTTAAGGTGTGAGGCAGGGGTCCAAATTCACTTTTTTATGTGGATATCCAATTGTCCCAACACCATTTATTGAAGAGACCATTACTTCCCCCACTGAACAGTCTCAGCACCTTGGTCAAAATTCAACTGGCTACAGATATAATAGTTCATCTCTAGACTCTCAATTCTATTCCATTGAGTAATGTCTGCCTTTGTGATAAATACCACACTATCTTGATTACTGCAGCTTTGTAGTAAGCTCTGAAATTTGGAAGTGTGAGTCTGCCAATATCTTTTTCAAGACAGTTTTGACTACCCTGGGTTTCTTGAATTTGCATATGAATTTTAGGATCAGCCTATTTCTGCAAAAATTCTATCTGGAGGTTAGATGGGAATTATGCTGACTTTGTTGATCAGTTTAAGTAGGTGTACATTCATCATATATGCTTGACTCTTACACCAGAGGCCCAGCCACAGTAAGTCCATCCAATGAAATCAAATAATAATAATGGCTGACACGGAGCACTCACCCTGGTATCAAGCCCTCAGCTAAACGCTTCACAGGGGCCATCTCATTGAACTCTTACAATTATTACTAATTTATTATTATTATTAACCTCATGCAACAGATGAGGAAATGGAGGTGCAAGAAAGTCAGATAACTCACTCAAGGTAACAGTTGATAAGTGGCAGAGGCAGAGTTCAGACACTTGCAGTCTAATTCCTGAGCCCCTGCCTTTCTCAATCCTGAATATACAAAGAGACCTTTCATACTCATTAGAAAAAAAAAAAAAAGACAAGCAACCTGGCAGAAAAATGGGGGAAGGATATGAACAGAAAATTCAAAGAGGAAAATGCAAATGGCAAAAAAATAGGATCTCTGTTGTCCATCATACTGGTAAAATGTTTTTAATTGGTAAAATCTGGTGATGATGAAGGTCTGGGGAAAAAGGTACTCATAACAGTATCAGTAAGAGTACATGATGGCACAATCATTTTGGAAACAATTTGTCAGCATCTATTAAAGTATAAAATACATATACCCTTTGGCCTTGTAGTTTCATTATACCTGAGAACAAAGGAAACAGACAAGAATACTCACTGAAATCCCATGTGTAACTGTGCAAAATAGAAACAAACCACATGTCTACCAGTAAGAAGTAACATCATTGGCCATGGCCGAAGCCATACCACTGGAATGCCAGCTTCATGAAGCAAACGTTTGTGTATGAGATATAAAATGTAGTATGCTGAATGGTGGCCCTCAAAATATATAGCCAAGTACTAATCTTATGAATGTGACCTTACTTGGAAAAAAGGGTTTTTGCAGATGTAATTAAGTAAAGATCTTGGGATGAGATCATTCAAGATTATCCAGGTAGATTCTAAATTCAACAAAAAGTGTCCTTATAAAAGACTGAGGGAAAGACACACACATGAAGGAGAAGGGCAAGTGAAGATGGAGACAGAGATAGGAGCCATGCAGCTGCAAGCTGAAGACCACCTGGAGCCACCAGAAGCTAGGTTAGGCAAGGAAGCATTCTTCGCCTGGAGCCTTCAAGGAGGAGTATGTTCTGCTAACACTGTGATTTTGGATTTCTGGCCTCCAGAACTGGGAGTGAACAAATTTCTGTGGTTTTAAATCACGCAGTCTGTGGTACTTTGTTACAACAGCCTGTAGCAAAGGAAACTACCATCAGTTCAGTTCAGTCGCTCAGTCATCTCCAACTCTTTGAGACTCCATGAATCGCAGCACGCCAGGCCTCCCTGTCCATCACCAACTCCTGGAGTTTACTCAAACTCATGTCCATGGAGTCGGTGATGCCATCCAGCCATCTCATCCTCTGTCGTCCCCTTCTCCTCCTGCCCCCAATCCCTCCCAGCATCAGGGTCTTTTCCAATGAGTCAACTCTTTGCATGAGCTGGCCAAAGTATTGGAGTTTTGACTTCAGCATCACCCAGGACTGATCTCCTTTAGGATGGGCTGGTTGGATCTCCTTGCAGTCCAAGGGACTCTCAAGAGTCTTCTCCAACACCACAGTTCAGAAGCATCAATTCTTTGGCACTCAGCCTTCTTTACAGTCCAACTCTCATATCCATACATGACCACTGGGAAAACCATAGCCTTGACTAGACGAACCTTTGTTGGCAAAGTAATGTCTCTGCTTTTTAATATGCTGTCTAGGTTGGTCATAACGTTCCTTCCAAGGAGTAAGCATCTTTTAATTTCATGGCTGCAGTCACCATCTGCAGTGATTTTGGAGCCCCCCAAAATAAAGTCTGACACTATTTCCCCATCTATTTGCCATGAAGTGATGGGACCGGATGCCATGATCTTAGTTTTTTGAATGTTGAGCTTTAAGCCAACTTTTTCACTTGCCTCTTTCACTTTCATCAAGAGGCTTTTTAGTTCTTCTTCACTTTCTGCCATAAGGGTGGTGTCATCTGCATATCTGAGGTTGTTGATATTTCTCCCGGCTATCTTGATTCCAGCTTGTGCTTCATCCAGCCCAGCATTTCTCATGATGTACTCTGCATAGAAGTTAAATAAGCAGGGTGACAATATACAGCCTTGACATACTCCTTTTCCTATTTGGAACCAGTCTTTTGTTCCATGTCCAGTCCTAACTGTTGCTTCCTGACCTGCATATAGGTTCCATAAGAGGCAGGTCAGGTAGTCTGGTATTCCCATCTCTTTCAGTATTTTCCACAGTTTATTGTGATCCACACAGTCAAAGGCTTTGGCATAGTCAATAAAGCAGAAATAGATGTTTTTCTGGAACTCTCTTGCTTTTTCGATGATCCAGTGAATGTTGGCAATTTGATCTCTGGTTCTTCTGCCTTTTCTAAAACCAGATTGAACATCTGGAACTTCATGGTTCACGTATTGCTGAAGCCTGGCTTGGAGAATTTTGAGCATTACTTTACTGGCATGTGAGATGAGTGCAATTGTGCGGTAGTTTGAGCATTCTTTGTGATTGCCTTTCTTTGAGATTGGAATGAAAACTGACCTTTTCCAGTCCTGTGGCCACTGCTGAGTTTTACAAATTTGCTGGCATATTGAGTGCAGCACTTTCACAGCATCATCTTTCAGGATTTGAAATAGTTCAACTGGAATTCCATCACCTCCACTATAGAGAGCTATATTTACTCAGGTCTTCAACACATATTAATTTTTTTAAGTTGTGAAATATATACATATAACTGAAATGAAGAAGCCCTACACATGTTATGTAAAACATAAAATACTGAACAACCTATGTGTATAGATATTCAAAACAGCAGAGAAAACTAGCTGGGACCAGCACATCCCAAATTGGCTTAGGCAGTTCCCTCTGGGGAATGGGAGCAGGTGTTACAGGATGAGGAGGGACCAAGGGCAGTATCAGCTTTACTTTCTAAGTATTCATGCATGTTTAAAAGAATGGTTTACAGAATTGAAAGAGACACGTGCACCCCAATGTTCATCACAGCACTGTTTACAATAGCCCAGACATGGAAGCAACCTAGATGTCCATCAGCAGACGAATGGATAAGAAAGCTGTGATACATATACACAATGGAATATTACTCAGCTATTAAAAAGAATGCATTTGAATCAGTTCTAATGAGGTGGATGAAACTGGAGCCTATTATACAGAGCAAAGTAAGTCAGAAAGAAAAAATACCAATACAGTATATTAATGCATATATATGGAATTTAGAAAGATGGTAACAATGACCCTATATGTGAGGCAGCAAAAGAGAGACAGATGTAAAGAAAAGACTTCTGAACTCTGGGAGAAGGCAAGGGTGGGATGATTTCAGAGAGTAGCATTGAAACATGTATATTATCATATGTGAAATAGATCGCCAGTCCAGGTTTGATGCATGAGGCAGGGTACTCAGGGCTGGTGCACTGGGATGACCCTGAGGGAGGGGATCAGGAGGGAGGTGGGAGGGAGGGCCAGGATTGGGAACACATGTATACCCATGGCTGATTCATGTGAATGTATGGCAAAAACTACCAAAATACTGTAAAGTAATTAGCCTCCAATTAAAATAAATTTTAAAAAAGAAAAGTAAAAAAAAAAGAATGGTTTAACCTTGAAAGAAAAACTTAAAGAGAAATTGATGATAAAGCTTAGCATTTGAGAGGTTACATGTAGACACCACATAAAGAATAGTCATTATAAAAAGATCTAAAAGGAGAAACAAATCCCTTATTCACTTCAAGGTATCTTTTTCTGAGCTAGAAAAAGCTAGTCCTTGGAGGTCACTGCTGGGATGTCACACCAGCAAGGGCTATGACTTGAGTCAGAGAAAATCCTGGATCAGTTATTACACATTTTTGGTATTCTCCACAAAGGAAACAAAGGATTTTAAACATCCAGATTTTCTTTTAAATAATTCAAATTATAATAACCATGTTATATTTGATTAAGTGAAACAGGCCACCTACTGTTTTCCTTGAATGTGTATTCTAAATGGGTAGTGCATAGTAAGCACTGTTATTGCATTTAATAGTCTGATTTACTACTTACGCTTTACTGAAGTAGTTCCTTCCACTGCATCCTCCAGACGGAAACCACCAGTGTCCCCAGATGCTGAAAATTAAAAAGAAAAAGAAGATTTTAAAATGTAACTCCCTTGGAAAGAAACAAAATAATACTAATATACTCTTGTAACTGTCACTTCCCTTTAGACAGTGTTATGAAGACAATGCCACAAAAGGAAATCAGTTGAAGCCACCCAAAGATACACTGAATTGATATCCCTCAACAAGCAATCTATTGATTCCAAAACAACAGCAAAAACAAAACCAAACCAAAAAAAACCAGTCCTCAGTCCACTAGAAGACTGAAGGTTCAAGTGAATGAAAAATGAAGTATTTAATATAACCTTATAGAAAAAACTTCTTCATAGTATGACTTTTGATAATGAGCCAAGTTCTTTCACCCCACCCCAACTCTCATACAAAGGCTGCTCTGCATTTTGGCAACCTGGGACACGCTTCCCCCCACCAACCCCAGCACCTACACCTAGGCTACTATCTGACACGTAACAAAAAAGGCAGTGCAGAAGAGTTTTTCACAAGACAATTTGTCCTCACAAGTGGACCCATCTGCCCAACCCTGATTGCTACTGAACTTGACAGCTTTCCTTCCCTCTAGGTAGGCATGTAGTTTCCCACAGGGTATATACATTAAGTCTCAAGCAAACCACTTTGCACGTCTACTGAAACTAAACAAGTAAGTAAATGGACAGTAGATTACAGAAGCCAGGTTTCTCACTGCTGGAGAGGGAGGTTGCAGATGAGAGAATTAGAAAGAGATCCATGTGACAGTCGACTAGAATTGGAGACATCAGTATGAATAATGTTTGGCTATATATATATATATATGTGGTTATATATAGAAATATTCATAAACACGTGCATATACATGGAGTTAATATTCAGATATACATCCCCTTGTTCTGTCAGATGAAAAGGCCTAGAAGCAACAACACTCAAGTAGCAATGAACACACCTGGCACCCAGATTTTGGTTTCTAAACACAATTCTCCAATAAAAGGAACCAGACCTCCTTGGAGACATAGCTGATTCTAGAATTGGGACAGGAAATATCTAGATAAGATCTGAGATTCTTCAGTGCTAGGAAGTACTTTTAAAAATATTTTATATTGGTGGGTGTATGTCAAAGGGGCACAGAACTGACAGAAAAGAGTTCTCAATGGCTAAGGTTGGAAAAATTCAAAGCAGCAAAATAAAGTGGTACTGGATTATGACCCTATGTATAAAATAAATATCCATGACTCTATGCTGATATAAATGACTGAGCAAAAACATAAAAACAGAAGAATTCAAGTTAATTTATGTAGACAATTCTCCTCTCCATAAGTGCTGACTCCCTTCCAAGATTATAGTATAAGGGGTGGGGAAGAGAAAAGTAACCTTACAGTGGAGAAACTGACATACACTACATCAGCCAGGCGATCAAGATGAAGATTAACAGTGATGAGTTATACTGATACTATATTCTCTGCTTTTTTTTTTTTTTTGGTCTTGCTGCACAGCATGTGGAGTCTTAGTTCCCTGACAAGGGATGGAACCCATATCCCCTGCAGTGGAAGTACAAAGTCTTAACCACTGGACCACCAGAAGTCCCAATACTATATTCCCTTGATACGATGAGAAGGGCACTAAACCTCTGTGGTCTTCCTTTCAAGGAAGGATAACTCCATAACCACAGTATAATCACAAGGAAAAGAGCAGAAAAACTCCAACTGAGGCACATCCTACAAAATACTTGACTAATCAAGCGAAATGTTGGGCTGGATGAAGCACAAGCTGGAATCAAGTTTGCCAGGAGAAATAATAACTTCAAATATGCAGATGACACCACCCTCATGGCAGAAAGAGAAGAGGGACTAAAGAGCCTCTTGATAATAGTGAAAGAGAAGAGTGAAAAAGCTGGCTTAAAACTCAACATTCAAAAAACCAAGATCATGGCATCCAGTCCCATCACTTCATGGCAAATAGATGGGGAAACAATGGAAACATTGACAGTTTCATTTTCTTGGGCTCTAAAATCACTGCAGATAGTGACTGCAGCCATGAAATTAAAAGATGCTTATTCCTTAGAAGAGAAGTTATGACCAACCTAGATGGCATATTAAAAAGCAGAGACATGACTTTGCTGACAAAGTTCCTTTTAGTCAAAGGAAAAACTATGGTTTTTCCAATAGACATATATGGGTGTGAGAGCTGGACCAGAAAGCTGAGCAGTAAAGAACTGATGCTTTTGAACTATGGTGTTGGAGAAGACTCTTGAGATTCCACTGGACTGCAAGGAGATCAAACCAGCCAATCCTAAAGGAAATTAGTTCAGAATATGTTCATTGTAAGGACTGATGCTGAAAGTGAAGTTCTAATACTTTGGCCATGTGATGAGAAGAACTGACTCATTGGAAAAGACCCTGATGCTGGAAAAAATTGAAGGCAGGAGGAGAAGGGGACGACAGAGGATGAGATGGTTGGATGGCATCACCAATTCAATGGACATGAGTGTGAGCAAGCTTCGGGAGTTGGTGATGGACAGGAAAGCCTGGTGTGCTGCAGTTCATGGGGTCACAAAGAGTTGGACATGACTGAGCAACTGAACTGAACTGAATACTCCTCAAAACTTTCAAGGCTGTCAAAAACTAAGTTTGAGAAACTGGCACAGCTTGAAGAGCCAAAGGAGATGTAATGATGGAAATTCACGTGGTACCCTGGATCAGCTCCTAGGAGAGAAAAAGGACTTTAAGTAAAAAACTAAGAAAATCTGAATAGAGTATGGACTTTAATAACAGTGTATCAGTGTTGATTCATTAATTGTGATACATGTACTGTACTAATACAAAATATTAATAACAAGGGAAGCTATCTAGGTGTAGAGCACATGGGAACTCTTTGTATCAGCTTTGCACTGTAAATCTAAAACTGTTCTAGAAAAGTTTATTTTTAAATATCTATTTCCTATAGCAAAAAAATTAAGGTAACCACTAAAAAAGAGATATAGGATGTATAACCTCTAACTCATTCAAGAATGAAAAGAAAGGTCAATACCAATAACTAAAATTCAACAAAAGTCACCAAAAGGAAAAAACAAAAATATGTTAAATACAAAACATGGACTTTCCGTATTGTCTAACACAAGAATATGTATAACTACGCTAATAAAAACTGAGTGTAAATAGAGCAAATTTCCTATTGAAAGGTTGTCGCCATGAGCCATGAACGACACTGGGATTCTTGGCCTCTGAAGGAGAGGAATTTGATCTGGGGTCAGTGATGAGGCTTGATCCCTCAGGGCTTTTGTGTAGTAAAGTTTCATTAAAGTATGAAAGAAATAAAGAAAGCTTCTGACATAGACATCAGAAGGGGGCAGAAAGATTGCCCCCTTACTAGTTTTTAGCAAGGAGCTATATACCTATTAGCAAATTATCTGCAGGCCACTGTTGACCCACGCCTCCAGTGGAGACTCCTAGACACTCACAGGAAGTCTGGCTCCATCTCTTGTGGGGATACTGTTCCCTTCTCCTGGCTCCTGGTGACACAAGGTCTTGTTTGTGCCCTCCAAGAGCCTGCTTTCCCAGTCCTGTGGAAGTTCTGTCATCAAACCACACTGGTCTCCAAAGTCAAATTCCCAGGGGTTCACAGTCCCTTTGCTGGATCCCCAGTGGAATGGCAAACCACTTCAGTATTCTTGCCTTGAGAACCCCACGAACAGTATGAAAAAGCAAAAAGATAGGACACTGAAAGATGAACTCCACAGGTTGGTAGGTGCCCAATATGGTACTGGAGAGGAGTGGAGAAATAAGTCCAGAAAGAATAAAGAGACAGAGTCAAAGTGAAAACAACACCCAGTTGAGGATGTGACTGGTAATGGAAGTAAAGTCTGATGCTGTAAAGAACAATATTGCATAGGAACCTGGAATGTTAGCTCCATGAATCAAGGCAAATTGGAAGTGGTCAAACAGGAGATGGCAAGAGTAAACGTCGACAGTCTAGGAATCAGCGAGCTAAAATGGACCAGAATGGGTGACTTTAATTCAGATAATCATTATACCTACTACTGTGGGCAAGAATCCCTTAGAAGAAATGGCATAGCCCTCATAGTGAACAAGAGCCCGAAATGCAGTACTTGGGGGCAATCTCAAAAATGACAGAATGATCTCTGTTTATTTCCAAGGCAAACCATTCAGTATCACAGTAATCCAAGCCTATGCCCTGAGCAGTAATGCTGAAGAAGCTGATGCTGAACGGTTCTATGATGTCCTACAAGACCTTCTAGCCTAACACTAAAAAAAGATGTCCTTTCCATCATAGGAGACTGTAATGCAAAAGCAGGAAGTTTGGCCTTGGAGTACAAAATAAAGCAGGGCAAAGGCTAACAGAGTTTTGCCAACAGAATGCACTGTTCATAGCAAACACCCTCTTCCAACAACACAATAGATGACTATACACATAGACATCATCAGATGGTCAATACCAAAATCAGATTGATTATATTCTTTGCAGCCGAAGATGGAGAAGCTCTATACAATCAGCAAAAACAAGACCGGGAGCTGACTGTGGCTCAGATCATGAACTCCTTATTGCCAAATTCAGACTTAAATTGAAGAAAGTAGGGAAACCACTAGACCATTCAGGTATGACCTAAATCAAATCCCTTACGATTATACAGTGGAAGTGACAAATAGATTCAAGGGATTAGATCTGATAGACAGAGTGCCTGAAGAACTATGGACGGAGGTTTGTGATGTTGTATAGGAGGCAGTGATCAAGACCATCCCCAAGAAAAACAAATACAAAAAGTCAAAATGGTTGTCTGAGGAGGCCTTACAAATAGCTGAGAAAAGAAGAGAAGCAAAAGGCAAAGGAGAAAAGGAAAGATATACCCATCTGAATGCAGAGTTCTAAAGAATAGCAAGGAGAGATAAGAAAGCCTTCCTCAGTGATCAATGCCAAGAAAGAGAGGAAAACAGTAGAATGGGAAAGACCAGAGATCTCTTCAAGAAAATCAGAGATACCAAGAGAACATGTATGCAAAGATGGGCT